ATATTGTTGATTTCATGCGAAATCATGACATGGAAATACCCGAAAAGATTACAACGAAAAAGGTATTTCTTGCGACCATAAAATAAAGTTATTTAAAAAAAAAATAGAATATGGAGTATTATTTCTTTACTATTTTTAAAAAAATGCTGGTAGGGTAATCAAGAGAAGAACCGAGATGCTAAAATAATGGCTATGTTAGGAATCACACGTTAAAAGGTAAGACCTCATTAGTCTTATTAGCTCGCACAAGTTTCTCAACTTCTGAGAGTTGTCGTTCGTATGGGGGCGATAGCTGATTAACGGAAAAACAGATTTCAAACGGAACAGACAGAATGTGTATTCACGTCTGATTCTAAGTGTAATCTCTAATAAGCTTGTACTTTACTTAATTCATTCATCATGGTGATCAGATCATGCTTCTGTTCATTATGTTGTGAACCTGAATGTATCACTAAAAGGTTCCATCTTTAATGAAAGTAGCAACTACCTGCAAATATTTAGAGAGAACAAACTCACTCTTGCCTATGAAAAACCCTCAATTTATATTTATTGGCATATTCATAAGGGGAGATGTTATTGACCTTACTTCAGCATATCAATAAAGGGCACAATTCCTGCAGCGCATTTGTGGTTTGGGGTAGCACCACTGCTGATACCTACGGCGGGTCAAAACAGCGTTGTCTGGGGTTGAATGATAAATGAGTTGTGTTTGGGCTTCGATTTTCTACTGTATTTATACAATTACCCCTTTTTTATACCATGGAATAATTTAATTTTTTTCAGACTCTGTGTGATTCAAGAGTAGGTTCCCTGATAAATGGGATAAAATCTAGCTATACAGTATCAGAACAGACGGGAATGTCACTCGAGACTGAAAGAAAGCATTGAGAATGCATAAATTTCATTCTTATGAAATGCAGATTCTTCAAGAGCCCCATGAGGATGATTATGATAGAAGAATATAGTTTTGTGAAATCATGTCTCATCGAGTCAATACCATCCCTAATTTTCTGTTAAACATCTGTTTCAGCGATGAGTGTTCATTTTTTCTGAAT